GGTAGGCCTAGTTGTCAGGGGGAAAGTCCACTAAATCTTATTGAAGTTTGGAGCACCAGAAGATATAATGGGAATTGCATCTGGCTACAGGATAGAGCATTATCTGGTGAGGTCCGTATGTTGGATGGGGAGTCTGGACTGAGTAACATGAAAAATAGAGCGAGATAGGTTGTTTTGAAAATAGACACAAATTCTGGTGCTTTGTTGTGTGGGTTGAAGGGCTATACCTATTGATTTAGAAGTCTATACCAATTCTAAATAAAAATATATTTTATATTTAGTAGTTTAGGACTTTCTTTTTCCCTTTCTATGTCCATTAACTGATGTAAATGTCAAAGTAGGATCTAGTAAAACTCAAAAGTAGGTTAGGAAAATAGATTTTTAAAAAATATCAGAGTGAGGAAAGGAAGGAAAAAGAGACCTTTCTCATTGGCACTTGCCAAATTAAACTGATTACTTATGCATGCATATCCTTCACCAGTCCATGTCTCCTTAGAGGCAGAGAAGGGGAGCATAGCATAGTGGCTGAGAGCACAACTCCCGAGTCGTAAAGACTGGGATCTAAATCCCTGACTACACTACTTACTTCCTGTGTGCACTCAGGCAAGTTGTTTAACCTAACTGAGCTGGTTTTTGCATCTTTAGAATAGTAATAACAGTTCTATCTGCTTTATAGGGTATCATGAAGATTAAGTGAATTAGTTCATATAAAGTGCTTAGTAAAGTGCCTGGCAGAATTGTGAGCACTCGATGAATATTAGCTGTTATTTTGACTATTATGATTTTTATATATGGTCCCTAGTAAAATATCTTACAAATGGTAAGTGCTCAACAAATGCCTAAACTGTTGTTGAGAGTCTAGACAAGAAAAAAGTGACCCGTATGAAAGCTAAAATCAGAATGGATCATATGGAAAGAGAAAACCGAGGTGAAGGAAGGAAAGTGCAGGACAACCATCTTATGGTATCTACAATAAATAATTGTTTCTTTGGGGAATAATTTTACTATAGATATGGCAAATTTACAGTTACATTGGAATTAAAATTATGAAAAAACTGAGTGTTTATTAAAATCTTAATTTTAAGGGTAAATGTGACGTTTTAAAAATTTGGTTGGCTTTTACTGGTCAGTGTGAGGTGGGGGATGGAACAACAGAATTCTCACCCTAGACTTACTAGAGTTTTATCATCATCCATGAAGACAATAACTACTGCAGAAAATTAAACTTCAGTATTCTCTCTGATGGTAACATCTTTTTTTTTTTTTTTTTTTTTTTGTGACCGGTAAGGGGATTGCAACCGTTGGCTCAGTGTCGCCCACACCGTGCTCAGCCAGTGAGCACACTGGTCATCCCTATATAGGATCCGAACCCGAGTGAGCCACGGGGTCAGCCCATAACATTATATTTTTCTGTTCCAACATAACCTCACAGGTGCTACATCTGCTCTTTTNAACTTTTTTTTTTTTTTTTTTTTTTTTTTTGTGACCGGTAAGGGGATTGCAACCGTTGGCTCAGTGTCGCCCACACCGTGCTCAGCCAGTGAGCACACTGGTCATCCCTATATAGGATCCGAACCCGAGTGAGCCACGGGGTCAGCCCATAACATTATATTTTTCTGTTCCAACATAACCTCACAGGTGCTACATCTGCTCTTTTATTTCATTTTCCCTGTCAGCCCTCTTTCCATTGCCACCCTTCCCAGTCTAGACTGCATGGTTTATCAGCATCCATACTCCCTGTGTTTGATGTCTCTGATCTAGGTGCCTGTCAAAACCTTATCCCTGAATCTATTCTGTAAAGCCTCAGCTGGGCACCCTGGAGAAAATAGCACAAAGTGACAAATGACAGATTCTCAGATGTCAACTTCAGCTCTGTGAATCTTGACAATCCTTTAATATGTTCTTAATCAGTTCCCTGTCATAAAACTTTTAGGATTTCTCACAAACTTTACCACTTTTCTCAATCCCCTTTCCAACTGCAACTCCTCTCTTTATTGAAGGTGGCCAGAGTAGTCTAAAAGGTTTTTTTTTTCCCTTTTTGTCTTTTTTACTGACCGGTAACGGGATTGCAACCCTCGGTGTCGCGCCCATACCGGGGACGCACTTTAAAGGCTGGGTGACAGATCTGTAAGGACTGAACAGACCTTTGGAATCTTTGAGTGACAAAATTGGGATGCTCAATGAGACCATGGCAGCCTGCAGCTAAAACTTTATCTTTAATGCAGGTGGTTTCTGTGGTAGCTAGTGCTTTAAACAAACCTTCTTTTTAAGTGACAGTGGGTCCAAATTGTTATTTTTGCTTTGTT